AAAAAAAAAAAAAAAATATTATTATTAACTCATTTCAACTAGTTTTATATCAGTTATTGGGAATTAAATACTCTTTAATTCAATCACAATGACAACATATCATCTGTCGTATCAATCACACATACGCATAGCACGAAGATTCAATCATACATGCATCAATCAAGCACATAATTAATCAGCACACATATTTTACGTAGCTAATCCCAACATCTTAGGCTACACGTAGAGAGAACTTTCACCATTATGAATTAAGGAAGAGGACACATAAATGCCTAACTTGACTCATTCACTTATCATCTTTCCAGGTACATCTCTACATAAAGGAATTACACATATATTCTCTCCTCGCCTCACAACACTCATATTTTTTACCCATATGCTTCCTCTTTCTACATTCTTCACCCAATTCCACCTCTATTTCTCCAAACCCCATTTCTTGTTGGATAAGAATTACAATTTCTTGGTGGTCACTAATTGCCTTACAATCAACTTTTTCAATTACAAAGAAACAACTTGCCTTACAATTGTCTGCAGGCTCCTAGAAACAAACTTTCACTTTAGGAACAAAATCTCGCACTTTTTAATTTTCGACGATCGAAGTCTTCATGGCGTCGATCGATACCACTTCAATTCGGCTTCGATCCACAACTTTACATAGCTCTTGGGATTGATGCGACGTGTCTATCGATATTATTTCGATCCCGCTACGATCCACAGATTAATTTTCACAACTTCTATGCATTGATCGATATCATTTCGATCCCAAAATCAAAACTTGTGATTTAGTCTCCACAACCTTAACAATTCACAATCTTTAAGAATTTGAGACACAACTCAACAAAAGTGGATTTATATAAAAATAAATAAATGATATGTAAAATAAGAAAATTTATTTATAGTTGCTCCATTCTTTTTTCTTTTTCTTTTTATAGCCAAATGAAAAATTATACAGTTTTATAAAACTTTGCAATAATCACACAATCTTAGTATTTAAATATGTGAGATTCGCTATGAAATTCATAAGACCTAAATGTTGAACTTGCATAGTCGCGTGCTTAGCACAATTTATAAAATAATTCTACTTAAGGCAACAAATGAACTACGTCGAGTCGAGCTTAAGTTTGTTTAGGCTCGACTCATTCGTGTGAGTAGTGCAGTGTGGAAACTGTTATGTTTTTTTTTTTTTTTTTTTTGGGGGGGGGGGGGGGGGGGACAATACTTTAATGACTCAGAGTGATCGAATAGGCCAGTCAACTTACTTGATTTTTGTGATTGATTAAATTACTCACTCTTAATTGCACATCACAATCACAAAAATATGAACAGTAAAATAAAGCAAGTAAAATAAAGTTAAAGAGAGATGAGGCTAGGATTTTTAGAGAGGTAATGTTAATTAGAGAAAATCTTCCAATTGATAGAAAAACCTCGGAGACTCTCGTGCAGTCTCGAGCGAAATGATCCACTATCTTCGAAGCAAAGTACAATGCACCTTTACTTAGGTTCACACCCACTTCACAATATGAAGAACCAATTGTTGAACACCTCTAGACTTAACCCTTGATGAATACAAAGAGGCGATGAACATTGAGCTAGATGATATAGAAAAAGAGTTATTAAGGGTTTTAGATCATTTTAAAAGCCAAAAAAGAGGGTTGAACGAGCTTAGTGACTCCCCCATCCAAACATTCTAGAATTGATAATTCTTTGATCTTTGTAGAAGGATTGTTAGTAGATTACGAATACTCCACGAATGTTCTGACCCTTTTGTAGTTTAATCGAGTCCTCATTTCCTTCAAATCTAATTTGCGAAAACTAAAAGAGGACCCTGCTGTTATGATCAATCTTAATTTGTAATTTGAAGTAGACTCTAAAAATTTTGTTGATCAGATGAAAAACATCACCCTAAATTACTCACGTGTTTAAGGGTGTGCTCTAAGAAAGATATATATATTCAAAATCTCTATAAAAAAAACTTCAATAATGATATGAAAACCAATCTATGCATTTCCTAATGACGCAATACTAGGATACGTTGAAGTTTTTTTTTTTTGAGATTTTTATAGCCAAGATAATCCTCATAATATATGAAAAATAAGTTTTAAAACATACAAGGACTTCCCTAGGAATTTTGGTGCAAACATGAAACTTAAAAGTTACCAAAACTGAAATCTCATAGATGTTAGAAAAGTGCAACTGGTTGGAAATAAAGTTGAACCGGTTGGAAATTTATAGAGAGCAAACTTGGGTTTCAGGAAAGTGAAACCAGTTGGATTTAAAGTTCAACCGGTTAAACTTTGGCTGACTTGAAAAAATTCCTCTGTAATACATTCTGTAAAAGTTTAACTTGTTGGACAAAAAGTACAATCTGTTGAACTTTTTTAGATTTCAAATTTTTCAATAAAACCCATTTTTCTTACCACACCAAACACGAAAAATAAAGTGACTTCACTCACATACCTTTTCTAATTGATGTTTCATCCAATCCGACGGTCTCGAAATATAAAGTGACTTCATTCGGTTTCGAAAGACTGAGATCAAGATAAATAAAAATTACAATTCGATCAACAAGTTTTGACATAGAAATTAATTTTCCAATTTACAAACTATAGCTCACAGTTCATTTATGGGCTCAGCTTGAGCTCAGATAAGGATTGCAGCAAGCTCAAGAAAGGGTTCAAGTCGTCATTTTTTTGCAAAGTTCAGAATCACCTCGAGCTCGGCTTTTTTGATAATAAAAGTCACTAGAACTCGAATTGGGCTCGTCTTCAGAATGCATATGTTCATGAGTGTATGTTCATAAAGCTACACATGCGTATGCTTATTAACATGTTCATGTGCACAATACGAGTCTATATTATTCATAAACGTATACGAGCCTACATGAACTTCTGTCCACGAGTCTACATGAGTTGGGCCCAATATTTTTTCATTGGCAAGAAACAGAGTTTAAAAAAAAAAAAAAAAAAAAAGAGAGTATTTTTCGTGCCAAAGTTTTTATATATATAAAAAAAACACACTCACACAACACCCTCACATTCCACTTTGCCTCTTTAGGGACCTGAACCATCGACCTTTAACTTTGGAAGGTGAAGAAGTACTATTAGGCTAAAATATCTTTGGTCGAGTTCAATATTGTTCAGATCGGCTCATTTACTCAATAAGTCTAGAAATCGAACTCCAACTCGATTCGTTTACTTAATAAACAAGTTCGAGCTAACCTTTAAACGAGTCAAGCTTGAGATGTTCATGAATATAGCTCGATTGGTTGGTCTATAGCCATAATTCAACTCGTGAGATATAAATTTTGTAATTGGCATATTTCGGTGTCAAAACGTGTCCAATCGAGTTGTAATTTTTTATTTACTTTTTAGTCTCAACGTCGAAAGCGAAACAACAAGTGCATGCCTACTCCAGATCAATGAGAACATCATTTAGATCAGGTTTGTGAATAGGAACACATTGCACATATATATTTTGAGTTGGTTGCGAGAGCATTGAAATTTTTGAGTCAAAACATTCTTATTTTTAGACTCTGTAAAAGTGCAACTAGTTTCACTTCAAAATAGAATTGGTTACAGTCAAATCATAGCTGTCGACCAAAACAGAACTGGTTGCACTTTAAAACACAATTTGTTTCAATTCCAGTGATCAGAATTGCTCTTAGTAAAAATAGAACCAGTTGCATTTTAAACAGAACCAGTTGCATTTTATTGAATGTGCCGGATTTTAGTTATTGGTAACTTTTTAGTATCCTGTTTGCACTAAAACTTTTTGCGAAGTCATTTTATGATTTTAAAACAACTTTTTATATATTTTGAGAACTCTCTAGCTTATATAAACCTTTCAAACCTCCAGCCCCAATAGGTATTTTAATGCTTGGGAAAAACATGGAATTATTTTTATATCATTGTGAAGCTTTTTTAGAGAGATTTTCAGAGCAATCTGATTTTATATTTTTGAGAGCAAACACTTAAACACGAGAGTGATTTAGGCATGAAACTCTTTTTTCTGATCGAAGTCCGAGCAATTCATAGAGATTCCGAAAAGCAAAGCAGGATTTTCTTTTAGCCTTTACAAATTTAGAACTTGAAGGAAATGAGGAATCGATTGTACTACAATGGGGTCATAGCATTCGCGGAGTGTTCATGATTAACCAACAACCCTTCTACAACCTGAACTTTGCAGCAATTGGACGGAGAGTTGTGAGAGTTAGCCTGGAATGTTCAATAACTAGTTCTTGATAGAGCAAAGTGGGTGTGAGCCTGAGTCATTGGCCATTATACTTTACTTCAAAAATTAGTAAATCCTTTTGCTCGGTGAATGTTTATGTGGTTTTTGTCCCGATTGATCAATTTTCTTCTAACAAGGATTTCCACGCCAAAAACTTTGATGTATCTCACAAATTTTATTTTATTTACTTGCCCTTTATTGTTACTTTGTAAGTTATTATTAATTTTATTTGAATAAAATTAAAATAATTTATAAATCGAATAAAGAATCAAACAAATATTCAACCCCTCTAAATTATTTTTACACCAAACTTCGACCCTACTCAAAAAAACTTCACGTATTAATTTGTTCTGGCCGCCTTCGTGCAAGTAGTCATTCTATAGTGACCAAAAACGAGAGATTAAATAAACAAAATTAAACTATATATATATATATATATATATATATTTATTTATTTATTTATTGTGTTTCTATAAAATATAGTAGTTACGTAGAAAGAACAGAATGATAATGCAACAAAAAAATGAGAAGGTCCCACCATCCAAGTGGGTAATGGAAGCATGTGCGATCATATGGTAGTTGGCCCTTTTGTAGGCCCACAAAACTCACTTTTCACCTACAAACCCAATTACTGAAAATGAAATATTTTCCCATTACTCATCCAATTATATATTTCTATATTTAACACATTTTTTAAAAATTAATTCCAAACTAATTATCCTCTCCTTTCTCACCCTTCCATTTCCAATCCCCTTCTATCTCCTGTTTGGTATAAGACTATAAGTGGATATTGTGTCAGAAATAATGATCAGAACTGAAGTTTCCTTTTGTCCTTCTGAGCAAGAAGGACCCTCTGTGTCAGAATAAATCTTTATCTCCAAAAGGAAGCCCGTTGTACTAACATATATATATATATATATATATATATATATATATATATATATATAATCACAATCAGCTAGCTACATACATATATACCCATCTCCAAAACCCTAATTTTTCTTTCAATCTCCCTCTATCTCATTTTTGGTTTCTATGACTCCTTATAGCTTAACCTTAAAACCTAGTTCTAATGGTTCTTCCATTAGAACTAGGTTTGCTTATAGGTTTCTTAGAGGCTTGAAGAGATTGAACAAGGACAAACCCATAAATAGTAACACATCTTCTTCTGCTATGGAGATATATAATCGTTATCGTCTGATTAAGTTTGCTGCTAATGCATCCATGGCTTCAACGGTCGGGTCAAGGCGGGTATGGAGTCGGGCCGTACTTAGGAGAATCCGATTCCGCGTTTCTGTGAGAGGAAGAAGGAGGTCTGGGGCCTTATTAAGGAGAAGAGAGAGACTTGGGCGGGCCAACAAGCTCCGGAAGCTCGTGCCCGGAGGAGAAGCCATGGATATGCAAAGCTTGTTGGCAGAGACTGCACACTACATAAAGTGCCTCACCACCCAGGTACAGGTCATGAGAAATATTGTTGATTGCTGCTCTACTTGAGTTATATATATATGTGTGTGTGTGTGTGTGTGTGTGTTGTGTAAATCTTACCATTCTCAAACTCCAAGAGTCTCAGTGCATTGAGCTAGCATATATATATATATATATTTATATAGAGGTGTGTAGAATACCGATAAATCGAATAAAGCGAGACAGAGATGAGCATGGTGGTGATGGCAAGTTTCAGTACTAGTAGCCTATATATATTTAGCATGCATGAAGAAACTGCGTTTTAATTTGCAAGAATTAAGTATACAGCTGTAACAATCCTAGCTTGAAAAGCGAAATGTAAGTTTGTGATTTTTTTTTTTTGTGGGTAAATTGTAAGTTGTGATTTTAATGGTCTGTAATTCTGTGGTTCTATATCTCACGTAAGTTCTTTGCCCAAAGAAAATATAGCTGTCCTTACCCGTCTCCTCTTATAGAGCTATACATATTTACTCATCAATATACTAGTTTTATCTTCGGGGGAAAAAAAAAATATTTGCTCTTTGTTGATAATTTCTGCTTGTTTATGTAGTATGAACTAGTTCGTATTCTCTCTATATAGTCACTAAGAACTGAGTTGATACCGAGGAAGCACTCAGCTGACTTTGCAGATGCTGATATAAGATTCAAATATTAGGTATGATACTTCCCGAGACATCAGCGTCAAGTTCTTACCCATTTAAGTCAACACATTGAATATATATATATATATATATATATATATATATATATATGGATTGGAACTAATTGAAGGATAATACTATTCAAACCGAAGAGTCTAAGTTATGCGGAGAGTTTCGATGCATTGAATAACATCAAAGCTTTGGCCTTATGTAATTAATGCAGGCATCCAATGATAAGAAACACTCAGCTAGCCTTCTCCATTACACAATTTGGTCTATATGAATTTATTCTTCATTTTAATTTCAAAAGGAGCTGTGATTCTGTTCACGGAATTCACTGAGCCTATCACTGCTCTTACCACATTTACAAGAAAACCATAATAAATCTGTAAAACATGTCATAGAACTTTAGATAATTAGATGAGAATACATAATAAGGTATTTGGAACTAATGGTTGTTGATGGTTCAATTGGAAGGAGTACACTAGCTTAGTGAATGAAGGATAATATAATAGGGAATTATAAGCTGACAATTTTGGTATATTTTACTCAAAATATAAGTACTGATTGATAAGCCTTTTCTCCTTGATTTCTTATGTACTTGTTAAACAGGCTTACAATCAATTACATTAATTTTAAATTCAAAACAAATTAATATTGCAGAGAAAATCAGGTTTCATATGTAATACTATGTTTTAGCTTAAGTTAAATCGTACATGCACTCCCAAGGGCCTTTGGCCTAGTGGTCTAATCTCTCTATCCTCAAAGAGTAGGGAAAGGGCCCGAGCTTAGGCAAAAGGGTGTGTGTTTACTTTACCGTTTGGGAGAATAAAATTATAAATGCGCTTCAAATTTTTTTTTTTTTTAAAGGACTTGTATGCCTTTTACTTGATTCACTTGAATTGAATCAAGGACAATAATGACAATTCACATTAAAAATGGAGTGCATTTATAAAAAAAAAATTAAAAAATGAAAAATTAGAGTGCATGCATTGAAACAATATCCTGATAGGTTGTCATATTTTCATGATAAAAACTTTAAAAACAATGCTGGATTAAGGAGATAATATATGTCTACTATTGGAATATTCCCTTTTATTCTTGGAAGCTTTAGTTTCTTGAAGGGATGGAATTAGTTCCTATTTTTATTTTATTTATTTTTTATTTTTGAAATCCTCAAGAATAAAATCTGATTTTCTTATATTTTCGGCCATTTTTTTTTTTTTTTTCCCTGTATTACTCAAGATATTTCAGTATTAATTAAAATGATTATACGGAGCAGTTTTGGCATCTAAATTTTGTGAATGTTGGTTTACACATGGACATGCCATTATCCTTGGAAAAGAGCCATTGTCTTAGAATATATCTTTCATGCAATAACCAAAATTTGAAAGATGTTTGTCTTCTTGTTATGATTCGGCAATTTGAATAGTGTTTTATGTCACGAGACCATAGTTATAACCATCTTATCAAGGAAAAATCAATGAACGAAAAAACATAACAATATATGCTCGGTATATGATGCTCTTATGTTTTTTTTTTTAGGATGAAGGGTAAGCTATATGATGCTCTTATGTTGAGTCCATATATGCGTATGTATACGTACTGAGATTACATTTACTTTCAGCAAGAGTAATACTATCAACCAGTATTCTTACTCTAAGATAAATAATAATTGGTATGATAATTGTATTTCCTCATGTACAAGGAAAGGCATACTGAAGTTGAAATAGTCTTCTTCTAGATCTTCTTCTTCTTCTGCTGTCTCTCTCTCTCTCTTGAGTGAGTTAAAAATCTGATGGAATTGAAGTTGCATAACATAAAGATGCATCTTAAATTATAGATAATGAATAATTTAGGAGTATCTCTCTCTCTCTCACATATTTTTGGTACAACTCCAACAAAAACAGAAACCCTGGTCATCTAGCAAAATCAGACTGTTTGGTTATAGGTAATTGAAAATAAGAGTACAGAAGAAAGGAAAAGAAAAACAAAGAAAACTTTTACAAGATTGATGCATTTAGACAGAGAGTGATCAGAAGAGTATATTTTTCTTTCTCCTTTCTTTTCTTTCTAATCAAATGAAAAGGAAACTTTAGGCCACCCACTTTAGATGTTCAACCAATTAGTGAAATAGTACCCAACTCATGACATTAACATTAATTATAACAATAGAATATAAGGACAAACCTCAAGAATGCATGTAATTACAATACTTCTTTTATTGGTCAAAAAAGTTATTTTCGAACTCACAAAAACTACCTCAAGAATGTGATCATGACCTGGAGACTGGAGTGATTCTAATAGTAATACAATGTAAGCAGGAGACATCCGTAATTTATCTTCCCTTCCTCTCTTTCTACTTATTCCACTCAACCAAATTGATGAAATTTTCTAAGCTTTCAAAACATTTTAAATATAATTGTATATCATCATATCGTTATTTTATTTTATTTTATTTTATGCTTATGTGATATTTCTGAATTCCTTATTATAACAATTAATTGCTGGTCATTATCATTGAGTGAGTAACGATTTTGAATACTAGTTAGTATTCTCCATACTGTTGTCATCTGCAAAACAATTACTTGCTGGTCCAGGCACTCTAGATTCTTCAATTGAAAATGACTCTTGGCCCTTTACTTTATTCACTAATGGCATGTTTTTTTAGGGCTCGTCTTGCTGTTGTTGAAGGCAGCCCCTCTCATACTTTTTTGAGTCTGTCTCTGGACGTTCTTTACAAGTTCTTACACACTCCTGCTTCAAAGAAGTAGAGAGATTGTTTTCTGAATGCATATACCTCAAAAGTGCTATACATTGACAAGTATATATAGCTGCAAAATATACAAAAGAACTCTTGATCAAAGACACAGAGTAGTATGTAGCAAGAGTGAAAGCGGATGTGAGAGCAGGAGCGTGAAAGCGGCAACATCTAAAATTTGATCTAAACGGGAGCGCCTCAAGAGCGCTTGTACACATGTATGCTATTATATGTGTAAAATGTTTTCAATATTTGTACATATAGTAAAAAACGATTATATAAAATGTGAAATAATAAATGTGATTTCATGTGACAAATCCACGAGAGCTCCTAAAACCAGTCGCCCATCCTACCAGAATCCTCAACCTAACCACCTTTCCTTCCACTCTATATATCAACCTCATGATCACCATCCACCTGACCAACGGCCACTGCTATCCTCAAAAAACCATCTACAACACCCTCTACAACACTTCTCCCACCCTAATATCAACTATCAGCAGCAAAAAAAATTACATTCTCTGCTTCTAAGCACAACAGCTCACTTAGGGGACCTTCCTCTAAATTTATTGATGATCATAACAATGTCCTTGCTGACATTGATCCTAGTATCACTCAGGCCTTGATTAATGAAATATATAGGCTGCGTGTTGACTTGATGGGGTTCAAAAACAAGTACAGATACAACCATCTCCTTGAAGAGGTTGAATAGACTCAAATGCCAAGCCAAACTGATGGCCAGAATTGATGACCTATGTGATCAAATCACCACTTCCAACCATATTCCTCTCATACATGATGATGATCTACTCAAGCTCTAAGAGGAGCGATCTCTCTCACAGCTGATCAAAGCAGCAACCACTGATCAAAGTCCACCTCCAAGGCATAGCACCACCACAAACATCACATCAACTACCTCGAAGATGCTGCAGCAACAAATTGGAATTTGAATTCAATTTCATGCTCTTACTCTCCAGGTAAAACCTCTTCCCACTTTCCACCTCCTCGGGAATATTCCAACCCTACTTTAAGCAAACCTCTTGACCCTATAACTGACATACCCACTCCCTTACCCTATCTATAATCCATGAGCCTAACTAATCACCATCATCAAATATCCCTAACAGTAACCATGCCCCTCCCAGTCTAGCTAGTTACACATCATAATCACACTAGTTTATCTCCAACCTGGGCATCCATTGTCAATGAACCACCATCAAGAATACCACTCAAATTTGTACATCATACTGAGCCTTTTGATTGTATATCATTTCACCACCTCCTGAAATTGAGCACGTTGGATTGAAACATATGAAAGCCAATATGTTAGGCTACTTTGTGCATAAATGTCACCCCTTTGGAATGGTGAAGAACATTGCTACTACACTCTGGTCTAATAAGGGTCTACTTAGAGTAACCAGTTCAGAGAAAGGATTATTTGAGTTCCATTTTTCAAGTACTGAACAATATAACCTCATCCTTGCTGAGGGGCCTTGGTTTTTTGCCAACAAACCATCAATCCTAAACCACTAGAAATGCCAACACTCATCCATCCTTATATGGATCAAGCCCTATGGATTACCTCGGTAGTTCTGGACAACTGACCTCTGGACTAAACTACATCACTAGCAACATTGGTGTAACGACCTACTCCACCGCATGGTATGATATTGTCCGCTTTGGGCCTGAGCCCGCACGGTTTTGCTCTTCAGCTTTACCCCAAAAGGCCTCATACCAGTTGAAAATGACACACTTACATATAAGCACTTCACCTTTCCTCTACCCAGGCGATGTGGGACTGTGCACCGGTAGCTCGCCAATGTGGTAGCCTGTCAGTGTCTCTCGCACCAGCTCACGACACACACGCCCACAAGGTCATCACAATCCACCCCCCTTGGAGGCCCGACGTCCCCGTCTGCACACTTTCGGTTGGGTCAGGCTCTGATACCATTTGTAACGACCCACTCCACCACATGGTATGATATTGTCCGCTTTGGGCCTGAGCCCGCATGGTTTTGCTCTTGAGCTTTACCCCAAAAGGCCTCATACCAATTGGAGATGACACACTTACATATAAGCACTTCACCTTTCCTCTACTCAGGCGATATGGGACTGTGCACCCGTAGCTCGCCAGTGTGGTAACCTGTCAGTGTCTCTCGCACCCGCCCACGACACACCCACCCACAAGGTCATCACAACTACCACACTGGCGAGTTACGGGTGCATAGTCCCACATCGCCTGGGTAGAGGAAAGGTGAAGTGCTTATATGTAAATGCATTTTCTCCAATTGGTATGAGGCCTTTTGGGGTAAAGCCCAAGAGCAAAACCGTGCGGGCTCAGGCCCAAAGCGGACAATATCATACTATGTGGTGGAGTGGGTTGTTACAAATGGTATCAGAGCCTGACCCAGCCGGAAGTGTGCCGACGGGGACGTCGGGCCTCCAAGGGGGGTGGATTGTGATGACCTTGTGGGCAGGTGTGCCGTGGGCAGGTGCGAGAGACACTGTCAGGTTACCACATTGGTGAGCTACGGGTGCACAGTCCCACATCGCCTGGGTAGAGGAAAGGTGAAGTGCTTATATGTAAGTGCATCTTCTCCAATTGGTATGAGACCTTTTGGGGTAAAGCTCAAGAGCAAAACCGTGTGAGCTCAGGCCCAAAATGGACAATATCATACCATGTGGTAGTTCTGGACAACTGGCCTCTGGACTAAACTATATCACTAGCAACATTGGACACCCTCTGTTTTCTGATTCCATCACTAAAAGGAGGCACAAAACAATATCTGCTAGAGTTAGTGTCAATGTCAAGCCAACATCTGATCTTCCAACAAATCTTAAGCTTCATATGAGCTCAGTGAACATAGCTAATGTCCTTGTGGAATACCAAAATCAGCCATACCTGCAAAAAATTTAGTCACACTAGCAAAACATGCCACAACTCGATCTTTACTTCACAAAAGAACACCCCAAATAACCTCTGACTGGCAAATAATACCTTCAAATAAAATCCTTAACCACATACGGTCACCAACCCATCTCCTTCCTATAAATGATGATACTCACATACTCCCACCCTCACTACCAATGTTGGATTCCACTCTTGCAATAATCCCTACCATATCACTCCATACTGGCCAAAATGTTATCACTCACTGCTTCAAACCAAATGAAAACTTCACTATTAACCTAAGCTCTTACTAACCAACCCAAATGATCCTTGAAACTCCATTTGAAACTAGCATAGTACCCTCCTCACCCAAACTGGATTACATTGTTACTTCTCACCTTCTCCATCCAGCAGATCTAGAGAGTTCAAGTACTCATCATCGGTTTTGGGAACTGTTTTACCATCAACAACTTTGGTTGGAATATGATCACCTTGTTCAGTGGCTTTCCAAGCATCGATATCTATGCCTCTTAGAAATGCTCTCATTTTGATTTTCCAATAGTTATAATCATTTCCATCAAACCAAGGAGGTCTATTGTTAGATTGACCTTCTTGATGAAAATTGGCCATGATCGTTCTCTAAGATGGTTAGATCTTTAACTAGATATTAGGCTCTGATACCAATTGTTAGACGCTAATTGACTTTAGAGGGGGGGTGAATAGAGTTAATGACCAATTTTTAAATTTGCAACTTTAACTACTAAATAATAATTATGCAAAAATTAATTAAAGTATATAAAAGCATAAATGTAAGAGAGATAGGGATAAGAGATTGTAAACAATGACTCGAAAATTTTAGCGAGGTTCGGAAACTCTTACTCCTTGGCTTAAGATCCTTTTTGAGACTTCCCAATCCACTAGAGCTTCTTCTTAATGGTGGAGAGCAAACCTTCACATGAAGCAAGTCCTTGCTTCTCTTTTTTGCTAGGAGAACACCTTTCTCCTAGGCTTTTTTTGGGTCACACCAACCCTTACAAGTTTGTAGGAAAGATTGTAATTGAAATACAAGATTGAATCTTTCTCAAGATAGATGTATAAGTGTAAGCTCACAGCTAGAGTAAATATATGAATGAAATGAAGCTCAAATCTCTAAGATGATATGGGAGAACAAGAGATATGAAATGAATGATCAAATAATGGCATTGAATGCTCTAGAATGAAACTCTTGAATACTCTTCAAATTGCTCTCAATAGGTATATATAATAACACAAGCTGCAGCTCATATTTATAGAGAGAGAAGGTCAATATAGCTGTTGGAGGTTAATATAGCTGTTAGAGATGAGGTGTGAATAGTCCAAGTTCGCAGGTAGCCGTTTGATTCAAAGTTGACTCTGTGTCAGTCGGCTGATGGAGTATCATCGGTTGGCTGAAAGCCTCTCATCAACCGGCTGATCCCTAATCGTTGGTTGGCCGAAACGATGGTTGAAATGCACTACTCTTAGCTTTTCATGAAATCTTTTTGTCGGTTGGCTGATGACTCTTCTTCGGTCGGCTGATGCATATATATATTTGTAAAACCCTTATTGGTGGCCTAAACCTTCATGTTCAGTCGGCCGAAACGTCTTTTGGCCAAACCAAACTTACTATTTTCTTTGTCAGCCGGCTGGTGTTTCAATTCAGTCGGTCGATGGATCTTTGAATGTGAACCTCTATCCTCCTCCTTTGTTTCTTAGGCTTCAAAGTTATATGGACAATATATGATGCCATTTAAATTATGATATGAGAAATGAATAATCATAGGATGTGAGCTTCATAGAATTCATAAATTACTTTGACATTTAAATCTAAGGCGCTTACCAAACCTATCTACCGCATTTGACACACCGGTCTTGTTTGTTTTTCATCTTCGAAGCTTGGAATTGAATGACTTGTTTTCTTTTCTCCTTGGAATGCATGGAATGGAACTTGCTTGGCTTATTCTTGCCTTTGATTTCTTTTCCATTTGGACTTCAAGTAATTTATCTGTCGTATGATCTTAAGGCAAATATCAGTCCATAAAACATCAGTAATGTTTTATGATAGTCAAAATTAGTCTTAGGGTTAACAATTTAGAGATTAAAAACTTTCGTGATTCATTACATACATATCCCAAAAGAATACTTATCGTCTAAAAGAATAGATTTACAAAGCAATAAGGTCTCCATAACCATGATTACAAAAGTTTCACTTGAAGCTAAAAAATGTATATATAAAGTTAAATTACATGATTCCATTGTCTATGTAATTACATTTCCAAAAGATAACAAAATACATCAACAACTGCTAAGCTTACGAGGGTGTTTCTTCTACAATTTCCTTGCCATGTCTTCAAAATGTTTAATAGAAGAGGTGAGCATAATAGCTCAGTAAGAAATGCCTAAAACATTGG